AGCTCCCCAGGGAGGACCCGGGGACCCGCTGCTCCCTCCTGCCCAGTGCACCATCTCCTGCCCTCAAAGAGCCGCGACCCCTCAGCACGGCACACAGGCCGGCCGCCCTCCGGCCAACACACCCACCTGCATGACTTTGGGCAGGATGGTCTTGTTGAAGTGGTCCTCAAGGGTTGGGGCGCTGAAGTCCCTCTTGTACACCTCCTCATCCTCATCCTGCAGGAGAAGGACACACCTGCTCAGCCTGCAAGTTTCCAGCAAGTGCCAGCAGAAGTGGGGCAGAGCTCCCAGAAGCCCGTTGCTGCGCTGCCAGGGGCTGCCATGGTACTTGCAGTCCTATTAACCTGCTGCTGAAGGTGGGGGACGCCAGTGTTGTCCCCCAGGCCTGCCTCCAGCAGCCACCCTCGTGTCCCCTCAGGCCACTTCTCCAGAGCCCGGGCTGTAGCCCACATGGAGCTGGCTCGGTTCTGACAGGGTATGTCAGCCCAAACAGCAGCACAGGGACAGCTCTGCTGCTTCGGCTCCATCTCAGCTGGGAGCTCTCAGCCCAACGTGCTCTGGCAGCACAGGCCAGCTCCAGGCAGAACTGTGCCCATCCTGCTCAGGCTCCAGAGGGTGGCTACAGGCCAGCACAGCGTCACTGCCCACCCTCTCCTGCCTGTGTTGGTGTCACCACTCAACCCTCTGCCACAAGAGCTGGCTGAGTTCAGATCACCTCAGTCACTTCAGCCCCGTGCTGCCTCTGAGGGCCAGGTCTTGTCCCAGGGATCCCCCAGACCCAGGGCACTGTGGGGGGAGGCTCCCCGCAGGGAGAAGACGGCCCTGTGGTCTCGCACAGCCCCTCCAGTGCACAGGCACGGCCCCTGCTGCCAGAACAGCCATGCCCAGGCCCTCACAGCACCACTCACCATGAAAAAGGCGCCGCGGTGGTAGTATTTCTGCAGGAACTTGTATTTGCCCTTCACTGCCTTGTTGGTGATGACCTTGCCATTGGCCCGAAGCTCAGCCCGGCGCTCCTCCTCTGTCAGGTTCCGCATGCGCTCGATTTCCGCCTTCTCTTTCTCCATGCTGGGCAGGAGAGAAATCCCTGAGACCCCGTGTCCCCACAGCACCCCCTCGGGACAGCTGCTGTTGCCAGCTGCCATCCGAAGGTCTACACATTTACCGACTCTGCAGGGGAGCAAAGGCACCCCAAGGACAGGCAGGAGAGGCTTTGGGCACTCGGTCTAGCTAAGACCATGTTGCCAAAGGGAAGCCTGAGGAAGAAATGCCTCAACTGCCCACGGGACCTGGGGCTGCAGGCTCTCGGCCTCATGTCTACACAAATGATACTTACGCTTCTCGTTCTTCACGGTCTCGTTTGATACGCTTCAGCTCACGTACTTTCCAGGCCTCGTACTCCTCCTCGTCGTTCTCATCATCTGTATCAAGTGCATCCAGTGCTGCCAGCGAGCGCTTGTTCTCCTCCAGCTCCTTTTTCGCTTCCTCTTCTACGATCTGCAGCAAGGACCAAGCTAAGCTTGCTGTGGCAACTGCCCCCCTCCTCAACATGACCCCCAGCCCGCCCCTCAGCACCTTGAGTGTGTACTTGCGCCTCTCCTCCGCCAGCCTCTTTGCCTCCTGCTCCAGCTCCTTCTGCTTCAGGGCTTCTGCTTCTCGCTCCTGAACTGTGATCCGGTCCTTCCTACAGGCAGGGACCACAGCAATCTTCAGCCTTTCCGTGAGCCAGCACAGCCGCTCAGCTCCTTGCACACTTCTCCCCTCTCCTGCACCACAGCCGCTTTCAAGCATCACCCTCTCCAAGGATGGACTGAGGCCCAGGGTTCTCCCTTTTCTGGCATCACCCACACCAGGAAAAAATACAGTTACAGGTGTGCATGCAAGCAACGTGAGACCAGGCCACCAGCTGTGGGGCACAGCCCACCAATGGCTTCCCTTTGTTACCATATGGCACTTGCCCAAGGGCTCCGGTCAGACCCTGCTGCAACTTTGACCCACAGCAACCTGATGCAGCTGATGAGGTACTGTCGGTGCAGGGATCGCCCCTTGCTCCCCAGCTGTGCTCTGCCAGGCTGCAACCATCACTCCCCTCCCAAGGAGGTGAACCGCCACCCCATAGTGAGAAAGAGGAGACCATGGCAGCAGTGTCTGCTCAGCCCTCAACTCCTGACTTCCATGTCCTCACCCAGGGCTGACCCACGTGGCCGCATCACCTACTTGCGGATGAAGACAGGTTTGAGGCGCGGCTCCATTTCATCCTCGCTGTCCGTGTACTCCTCGTATTCAGACTCTGACTCGGACTCTTCTCCAGATCGACCCTCATCTTCCAACTCCATCACTTCCATCTCCTCAGTTTTCCTCTCCTGTGCTCGCTGACGCATCATCCCGCGCCGACGCTCGATCTCCTAACAGAGACAAACACAGAGGAATCAGATGATCAGCCCCGCTACCGCTTCCCTCTCACTCTTCTGTCAAAAACATGCAACGTGTGGGGTGTTGGCTACGAGACGATGCATCCATCCCTCTTGAGGCAGGGTGGCCTCTCCCAGTGTCCCATCCCACACAACAAGGCAGTAATCCACCAGTTAAGTCACAGCCAGCTGTGACCCTTGTCCAGCTCCACCAGACAGCCCACAAGTCCATGCAAAAGGCAGTTGCAGCCTGTGCCTTTCAGGGGCTTTCCTAGGCCTGTTATTTGCCTCTGCAAGCACACCTCATCATCAATCTCTTCCTCTTCTTCTTCACTGGTGTCCTCTCGCTCCAGGCGCCAAGCTTCCCCCTCCACCTCTGAATCACTTTCTCCAACCACTTCAGGCTCCACGATTTTACGGTGTCTTGCCAGCCTGTAACAGACTCCAATTAAACAATGGCACTTTGAACGTAAAGAGGCTGCAAGAAGTTCGCTATTCATGAATCGTTCCGAACAAGGCCATGCTAAATGCTGGAACTGCTGAGTATGGGCAGAACCTGACATATTCTTTCCCAGGAGGCTGGAGCGGCTGGGCACTGGCAGCTCCTCCCTGCCCATGCTCTGCATAGGAACTGAGCTCGCAGCGGGAAGCCTCCCTGTTACTGGAACTGAAAACAGCAGCAGCTCCACAGGAGGAGGCAAATGGCTTCCTGCTATCCCGAGCCTCAGCACACTGCGTTAATTTTTATCTTGGAGCTTGTTTTCACCTGCACCCACCCAACCACACTCAGACATATGGGGCTGTGCCCTGGGAAATGGTGGCTCCTGGTCACAAGGGCTGCTCACGGCAGGGCCGGAGCCCGAGGCACGATGCAGCAGAGATGTGGGAAGAGTCAGAGACTCTCCCACACTGCCTGGAGAACTTTCCCAGGCTATGCCCCAGGTTCCTGCAATTCCTCACTGCAGCGTGGCAGAGCGGGGTCCAGTGTCCCCAGCCCCCTACGAAGGCAAACCTGCAGGAAAATGCAGCCTGGGCACA